CTTTTATACTACTACATCTGCGAAGTGGGGTATAAACTTCCTATAATAACCAGCCAGTCCCAGGAAAGCCCTCACTTGCTTTTTAGTACAGGGTGCTCAATATTTCCACACCGCCTCCATCTTGCTCAGCAAAGGTCTCACTTTTCTGCTTCCTACTAGGAACCCCAGATATAGCGTTTCTTTTTCCCCACCGTACATTTCTTTGGGTTGGCTGTCAGCCTGGCCCTTCTTAAATCTTGCAGTACCGCCCTCAGTGCGGTGAGGTGCTCAGCCCAACCCTCTGTGTATATCACGATGTCGTCAATGTATGCCACGGCCTAACCCCCATGGGGAGCCAAAACTTTGTCCATTAATCGCTGGAATCTGGCCGCAGCTCTGTGCAATCCAAATGGCGTCCATCAGAATTGAAAAAGACCCCATGGAGTGGCAAACTCTTTTTTCCTGGTCTTTGAGTGCCACGGGGACCTGCCAGTATCCTTTGGTCAAGTCGAACGTGGAGATGTAGTTAGCTTGCTCGATGCTCTCCACCAGTTCGTCTACTTGGGGCATCGGATAGGTATCAAACTTAGCCATTGCATTTACTTTTCAGTAGTCAACACAGAGGTGGATTTTTCCATCAGGCTTAGGTACCGCCACGATGGGACTCCGCCAATCGCTGCGAGATTCACAGATAATACCCTTCTCCAGCATCATTGTAATCTCCGCTCTTATTGGGTCTTGGAGGCGCTAAGGAATCTGTCTCCAATGCTCGCGTACTGCCAGGCCCGGAGGGGTTTTTATCCGGTGTACCATGCCTTGGGCTTCCTCAGGGGTTCCCTGGAACATGTCTTCATACTCCTTGACCAACTTGGCAGCCTGTCTTCTCTGGTCTTCTGACAGTCACATGGCCGGTTCTATGTCCCCCGGCCCACTTTCCTCCGTTAACGTCAGTCCCAATTCCAACTCTTCAGGGTGAAGGGCTAAATACATACACTCGTGGTGTTCCCACCTCATCAACATATTGACATGGTATACTTGCCTCTTTTTCTTCTTATTGGTCTGGTATACTTCGTAATCCATGGGCCCCACTTGGCGTACTACCTTGTAGGGTCCCTGCCACCGGGCAAGTAACTTGCTCTCGCTGTCTGGCAGCAGAACCAACATCAAATCTCCTTTCCTGGGCACCTCTGTTGTAATGCTGCGCTTGTCGTTGCTGGGCTTCTTGGAGATTTCCCATGACCACGTTCTGGGCTGCTTCAAGGCATTCCTGCAGTTGTATCACATATTGGAGGACGTTCTGGTCTCTTTGCCGCTGTTCCTCCCAACCCTCCTTAACTAGGTCCAGAATCCCCCTTGGTTGCTGGCCGTATAACAACTCAAACGGTGAGAACCGAATCGAGGCCTGAGGTGCTTCTCTTACCGCAAATAACAGAGGGGGTATCATTTTGTCCCAATTCTGCGGGCTCTCAACCACAAACTTTTTCAGCATTTGCTTCAGTGTCTGATTGAAACGTTCCACGATCCCATCCATTTGTGGATGATATATGGCTGTCTTCAGATGTTTGATCCCCAAGGCTTTACTCACTCCTTCGAACACGCGGGATGTAAAGTTCGTCTCTTGATTGGTCAGTATTTCCTTCGGAAGCCCTACTCGGGAGCAGATCTTCAATAGCTCATTTGCCACCTTCGGCGCAGACACTGTCCGCATTGGTACTGCTTCCGGGTACCTAGTCGCATAGTCTAGTAGCACTAATATATATTGGTTGCCTGTGCTACTCCGGGGAAGTGGCCCCACGATGTCCACTGCTACCCTCTCAAAGGGGACCTCTACCAGAGGCATTGGAATCAAAGGAGCCTTTGGGGGCGGCCTGGGGTTCACTTTTTGGCAGTTAGGACATGAAGCACAATATCGTGCGACTTCCCGCACCAGTCCTGGCCAAAAAAACCTTGCCCAGATGCGTGCCTCTGTTTTGTCCTGGCCCAAATGCCCGCCCATGGGGAGTTCATGAGCCACTTTCAATAAGGCCCGTTGGTATCGCCGTGGAACCAACAGCTGAGCAACCTCCCTTCCTTCTGGTTTCCCTCGCTCAATCCAGTATAAGAGGCCGTCTCTTACCTCGAACCTTGGAGTTGTTTTCATTAGTTCTGGTTGCAATACCTCATCTTTCCGGGCGAGGTGTTCCTGCAGCGCCCACTGAAAATCTGACTCTCGACTCTGTTCTAGTTGAAAGTGCTCATCTTCCCACAAATGGGCGACATCTACTCTTTGTTCTGCTCTCTCCTTGTGAGGAGACTGCTCAGTTTCACCCACGAAACCCTCCGTGGTCTCTTTGCACCTCACATTAGCTACTACTTCTAGCAACTCGGGCCAGTCGCAGCCCAGTACTACTGGGTAGGTTAAATGGTCTGAGACCCCCACTAACATTGGGCGGGTCTTGTTGCCTAGTTCCAGAGTGACCCTCTCCCTGTTGAAAATGAGGGCATCCCTGCACCAGCACTGCATCCTCATGCGGTCCCCTCTTCCCCTCTCCCTTGTTGGTAATACGTCGCTCCGCACCACCGTCTGCTTGGAGCCTGAGTCCAGTATAGCTGTGACTCTTTTCCCCTCTACTACTACTTCTGTCAACAAGGGGGGGGGGCTCATCCCCCACCTTGGGGGCGACTCGCGCTCCGTAGCCGCACAGTCCTACCTGCACCGTTGACTAGGATTGCGTGCTTTCGATCACGGTGGATAACAGGGCCTGTTGCCTTATGGCTTGGTCCAGTAGGTCTTGCACCTTTTGATGTAATTGCTCCACTGCTTGCTCCTTCCTCTGCACGGGCCCAAGGGCTCTCTTCTTTACATGGGCGAACCAGCGTCTTATGGTGCATGCTGCTGTATACAGCTTTCCCGGCCAATGCACCATTGTAACAGGGATAACTCGCTGGAGCCTTCCAGTCGGTGGCTCCGCCTTCCTGTCTTGGGCTACCCGCCTGCTTACTTGCCTGCCATGCCTTGATCTTAATTGATTGAGTGATGTAATTAGCGGGAGGCTGCCCACTTTATATGCCCGATGTCAGGAGGCGCTATCTGCGGCTCCTTTTTTCCTCCCCTACACTGCAAACTGAGTCTCGCAGATGGTACTTGACATGGTTTGCCCTATGCCTTGGCCCTCTTCTTTACTTCTGGGCCCCCCCCACTGCCCCCTCTCCCTCCAGGGCTCCTCACTGCCCCCTCTCCCTCCGGGGCTCCTCACTGCCCCCTCTCCCTCCAGGGCTCCTCACTGCCCCCTCTCCCTCCGGGGCTCCTCGCTGCCCCCTAGCTCTGGGCTCCGCGCTGCCCCCTGGCTCTGGGGCTGGGGCCAGTGTGCCCCAAACAATGCTGCACCCTCTCTGGCACCAGGAAACCCCACGCTACCGTGGCGTTCCTATGAGGCCTCCTCCACCCCTAATAGCCTCACCCGGTCCTCCAGTAAAATAGTAAACACAAAACACAAAGCCCCTGGGCTATAACGTAAACTAAACCGTTCAGTCAAAAACCATGTTCTGTCCCTACTGGGAAAATACTCCAACTCAGCCGCAACCAGGGGATGCTCCTGCAGTCTATCTTCCCCTTTCTCTCCGCACTGGCTGAGCTCCCCCCTCCTTGGCCGCCGGAGGGGAACTGCCCTGTGGCTTTATGCTTGGGCTTAAGAAGGGGCCAAGCCCTGCCCCTTCCTGTCAGCTGATCCCCTTGGTTCCCGTAGCAACCAGCATCTGTGCTGCCCTGGTGACTGGCAGTTGACCCTCCCCCTTCTCACCACTATGGGTCTCTCCTGAGCCATTTCTGCTTTTAGGCACAGGGCACCCAAGTGCTCTGTGACAACCCCATGCACAAATCTGGGGGGCATGTGCCCCCCATGCCTCCCTGGGGATGTGCACAGTGGTGGGGAACCACACCCCCCCTGCACTCCAGCCCACAACCTGCCCTTACCCCAGGGCCCCATTCACCCCAGCCCCTCCACTTGCTCCTGCCCCACTCCCTCCCTTACCCTCCCTTCCCTCTCCCCATGCCCCTTTGTCTCCACAGACTTACCTGCTGGGCACTGTTATACATGCTGCTGGGCTGCATTCCTGGCTGTATGCAGGCTGTGGCTGCTCGTGTGCCTGAGTCTGTGTGTGCCCCCTTCATCCCCCCTGCCCTGCTTTCCTGCTGCAGCAGCTCAGAGTCTGCACCCAGGCTGCCCTGTGGTCCTCTGTATTGACACTGCTGCCCCCCGGGTGGCTTGGAGGTGATGGTGACAGTGGCAGAGCAGAGCCTGGGCATGGACTTCAAAACTACATGCATGACTAACATGTTAAAAAATTAGCGCAAGAACCAATTAACCATTTTTAAAATTTTATTGGCACTTTTTTTTTTCAATGAGCTGTAGATGTTGTTACTTCACTAATCACCTCCTTTTCTGGATCATTGATAAATATAATGATAGATATTTTCTGTTTATTTTACAATTCCTACTAGGCCATTATTTTATTATTTAAAATTTTTTCTTTCTGTGATTTGCATATTAAATGTTTAAAGGATGGAGGCCAAATGGCAATAGTTCTATACATATATACATTTAACATAAAATAGGGATACATATTTATATTTATATTCGTCTGTATACCTATTGTGAGAGAAAAAAAGACTGGTGCACCTTCTTTAAACTGTTTATTTAATAGGTAATTTCTACACCCAAGTTCAAAGACTACTTAACTTCATGGCCTTGTTCCTCATATGTATCATATTTTAGCTATTCGGCATGGACAAGACTGAACTTAGTTAGAAACTCCTTGAACTTGGATTTAAATGGAGTTTCGAAGCCTGGGTAAATAGACCCTTCAATAAATAATTAAAACTATAGATAACTTGCCTTTTATCCTGTACTGCCATGTTGAATATGACCTTATTATAAATGTTTGTTTATTTTTAATTTAAAAAAGGAAAAAAGTAGAAATTTATTCATACCCTGATAAAAAAATAATTCTTGGTGTCTTCGTTCTTTCCTTCTTTCCTCTAGTCAAGGACTCCTGCCCTGCAGATCATTTTGTGAGGCAGCAAAAGAAGGTTGTGAACCAGTCTTGGGGATGGTGAATGCTTCTTGGCCAGAATTCCTCAAATGCTCCCAGTTCCAAAACAAAACTGAAAATGACAACACTACGAGGGTCTGCTTCTCACCGCAGCAAGAGAAAGGAAAGCAATGTATGTGTCCCTATTTAACCACCAGACTGTTTTAGATTTTGTGTAATATTTTTTATTCTGTAGGCTAAATTTATCCAAGATATCCATGGAGTGAACTTACACATATTGGGTGGACTGGACTAAGACCTACTACTAATGCTGGTTGATACTTTCCATTATCAGAAATTTTATTTATAAGAAAAATGATTACTAACTTTTTAAATTTTTGGACTGAAGCTTTCCATGCCAGATGCCACCTAAGCCTGAATATATATGAGGCAAAGATACTTGCCTCATTTAAAAAGAAGCTGTTTGATCTTTACTTTGAAAAGATCTAGTGGCCCCAGGCTTTTGAGCAGGAACTTGAGATTGAGCAAGGCAATGTGAAAATGTACCTAAATTTGGCTAGATAATAAACCTTTGAAAAATCGCAAGTCATGTGCTCAGTAGAGACGTCTTAAAGTTGAACAGATAAAATTGCTTAACTTCTGTGTGCACTGATCATGTTCCATCTCTTCATAGCTCCTAGATGTGATGGGAGTAAACATGCTTTGCCAGATCTCAGAATTAAGAATAAGGACCCTGCCTCTCCTCTGTTCTTGACCTACTACTTGGCAGGTGTTTCATAGATTCATAGATTCATAGATTAAGGGTCGGTAGGGACCTAGTAGATCTTCTAGCCCGACCCCCCGCCAGGGCGGGAGAACAACAAAAAACCCCAAAAAGAGAAATGGGACTCAAACGAGTCCAGCCAGGTAGGCATCCAGCCTCTTCTTAAAGACCCCCAGGGTAGGGGCCAGCACCACTTCCCTTGGAAGTTGGTTCCAGCTCCTAGCCGCCCTAAC